AAGCTATCTCAAAGACTGATGGTGGCTTAACGTGCATTCCTATTAATATGGAAAAATACATATCATTCTCGTTGACTAAAACTATACATTATACGGATAAGGATGGGAAATCTAGAATAAAGCAAAGTAATGGGCTTAGATTCATAGACTCCGTTCAGTTTCTGTTAACTTCCCTGGACATTTTAGCTAATGCGAACAATCCCGATGACTTTGCGATAACAAATCAATATACCGATAGGTTAACATGTCATTTGTTGCTGAGAAAAGGTGAATATCCTTACGAATATATGGATGATTGGTCTAGATTCGACGAACTAAATTACTACCTCTTGAATCATTCTATAGTAACTTAACAGAATCTAAAATAACAGATGCAGATTATGAACACGCTCTGACGGTGTGGGATAAATTAGGTTGTAAGAATTTAGGCGATTATCACGATCTGTACTTAAAAACCATGTACTGTTACTCGCCGATATATTCGAGATATTTAGAGAGACATGTTTAAAACAATATGGCTTGGCCCCGGCATGGTACTATTCCAGTCCCGGACTATCGTGGGATGCATTGTTGAAGAAGACCGGTGTAGAACTAAAACTACTCACAGATTACGATATGCACTTGTTTGTTGAGAAAGGATTAAGAGGTAGTATATCGATGGTAGCGAAAAGGTATTCTAAGGCTAATAATAAATTAGTGGAAGGATATGATCCGAGTAAACCCGACACGCATATATTATATCTCGACGCCAACAATTTGTACGGATGGGCTATGAGTCAACCATTACCCATGGGTGGTTTTGAGTGGGTCGAAGTGAATGATATCAATGTGAATGATGCGAATAAAGGGTACATACTAGAAGTTGACTTGGAATATCCAAATTCGTTACATAAAGACCATAACAGTTATCCGCTAGCTCCCGAAAGATTAATGGTTAATAAAGATTTGATGTCGGAATATCAACACTCCTTGATGGGTAATACAAGGTTAGCTAACGTAGAAAAACTCGTACCAAATTTGATGGATAAGACAAAATATATAGTTCACTACAGAAATCTCCAGTTATATCTATCGTAAGGTATGAAATTTAAGATAATACACAGAGTTCTAAAGTTTGATCAAAGTCCTTGGATGGAGCCCTATATAAGGTTGAACACAGATTTAAGAAAGATAGCTACCAGCGATTTCGAAAAGAATCCATATGAGCTCATGAATAACTCAGTATTTGGTAAAACTATGGAGAATCTAAGGAAGCGTGTTGATGTTAAATTAGTCAGATCTAATGAGGAAGAAAGACTCAGGAAACTTATAGCCAGTCTGGCTTTTAACAGAAGCAAGATATTCGATAACCACTTAGCCGCGTTGCATATGCAGAAGAGTAATATAAAATTCAACAGACCGGTGTACGTTGGTATGAGTATTCTCGACTTGTCAAAACACTTAATGTATGACTTTTATTACAACGAACTTAAGAAGCAATACGGCGATAGATGCGAGGTGTTATATACCGACACAGATTCTTTGTTGATGGAAATACAAACCGAGGATGTGTATAAAGATATGACAGAAAAAATAGATATGTACGACACGAGCGATTACCCAAAAGATAATCCACTGCACAGCGTACTAAATAAAAAGGTGTTAGGTAAGATGAAGGATGAATGTGCTGGGACTCCTGTAGCGGAGTATGTCGGATTAAGACCTAAGATGTATTCCATAAAGAAGTCCGATAATGGGGAGATAAGAAAAGCTAAGGGTGTTAAGAAGTATGTGGTAAAAAAGCATATCAAACACGAACAGTATAAAGAAGCATTATTCAACGGTAGAACATTCAAACACGAGATGAACTCTTTAAGAAGTTACAATCATAGGATATATGGATTAAGAATGAACAAGACATCATTATCCCCCTTAGATACAAAGAGATGGATTGATAATGATGGTGTAACTACCTATGCTTATGGTTATTTAGGGCGGCAATACTGTACCGTTGGGAACTATGAACAACTCTTCTCGTACAAATGCCCTGCCCAGTCCATCTTGAAGATATTAAAGAATGGGCTCTCCTTCTTTCGTAACCAATCGACTAATGTTATATGTCTTAAGAGACCAAATCGAATCGGTTGCGCGACGTAGGCGTCCTTCGAGTTCACCGGGCTGGTATAAATATCTCACGCTTACTCTATCTGGAAGCTTTTGTTCTTTGCCTCTCTGCGGTGCTGAAGATTCGGAAGTCACGGATTTCGTTTTAATCACATCGGATGGTTTCTTCCCGATTAATCTCGTTACTTCATTATTCAGCGCTGATACAACAGCTGATAATCGTGTCACCCATTCGGTTGATCTTAATCATTCCGATTTCATTTCGATCCCATACTGATAGCCAAACAAACGTTCCGCTGATGTCCTGTTAAATCTTTCGACAATAGCTTGACTACGGTGGGCCTCTCTTTCACCACGCCTGATTTCGACATTGTGCTTTGTTAACAGTTTAGTTACCGATCCCATAAACTCGCGACCGGGATCTACTTGAAAAAACTTAGGCCATTTTAGTGGTCCGCGTTTATATATGCGACTCAGTGCATTAGCTACTTCTGTTGAATCTTTTGAGGTTAATGGCTCAGCCTCTTTGTATCGACTAGCCACATCCACTACGGTTAGAGCGTATTTATACGTTTTGCGTCTTACCTTATCGTGGGGAAGAAACAGGAGGTCAGCCTGATGAACTTCATTCGTTGTAAAAATATCAAACTTCTTCCTCGGTATATAACGCGGTGCTGGTAAGTATATTTGCCACATCGCTTGTTTCTTTAACCAATCCTTGGCCACATCTTAAGATACCTTAGCCGCAGTGGCTAATTTATTTATTGCTCCTATACCTTTCCAATATCCTTGTGGGCTATAGTAAATTTTATTCATTATTAATTAATATTGATGTTTCTTTTAATATGATTTATGACTATCGTTGAATCGCATCATCATTTTTACATAAAAAAATCCCTCTGTAGTAGCGGTATAGGTATATAAATCTGGCTCCAGTGGAGTTGCGGCAGAACCCCTATTACCTATAAAAAAATATATCATAGAAGCATTGATTGGCTCCAAGTGGTGGTGAGCTAGAATCATTTTCATTACAATTTAGTTTAATCTCATGACTATCATTGAATCGCATGATCATTTACACTTAAAAAATTTCATCTGTAGTAGCAGTATAGGTATATAAATCTTGCTCTAGTGGAGTTGCGGCAGAACCCCTATTACCTATACTACTGGTTGTGTGGACTGGGAACGAATTGGACTCAGCCTTGTCCTCGTTGTCCACAATGAATTGCCTACCTCCCTTATAGTATCCGCGCTTGTTCTCCTCTCTCAAACGTTTTAGTTTGTCACGTTGATTTCTTGTCAGATCCTTCGCAAGCCCGATATTAGACGTTTTGAGGTCACCTCGCATCTTTAGAACTCTAATTTTAATATCATTACAGACAAATCGGACAATTACTGGTCGTGGTTTACCGCTTACTCGTACCCCGAGACGGTGTGATCGGACAATTTCAGTTGCAAGTATCGGTTCATCCCTATCATCAGAGTCCAATAGTTCCAATACACTTTGTTTACAATCTTCAGCTGTTTCATCCGTGACCTCTGACATGCCATTTATGATGACATTGTCCCGCCTACTTATATGCCTCTAGCCTATCAACGGCCCCCATGACGCTGTCGAGACGCTCGTCCATCACGTGCATTTCGGAAATTTCCTCTTCTGTACTTCTATCTCGTTGTAACGTGCTGTAAGGGATTCCAAATAAGATTTTATTTGCTTATTGTCGTCACGAACTTCTGTTAAAAATCTCAGTGATTCAGACACTTGGCTATTTATGTCTTCACACATCACCTCCAGTGAATAGTATTTCTTTTCAATGGCTATCATCTGTGTTCGAACTTCACTCACTGTTGCACATATTTCTTTCTTGTTTTCCTCCATTTTGTTGAACAGTGCATCCTTCAAACCCATTATTTGTTCCTCCACCGTCGGGCCTGGATGCTTCTCAATATCACCAGCAATATATATAAACATATATACATTGATATAAACGTGTTTTTTTAGGAAGTACGTACTACTCAGCGCTAATGAGCGGTGTTATTTGCTATTTGTTTTGATAACTTGGCCTGGGGGCGGGGGATCCAATAAAACTCCTAAATAGGGCCATAAAACAATCAAATTCTTTTTTACGCAGAAATACGTGGATTGTTATAAAAGCACCCATGTCTGTACTGTTAAACTGTGTCTAAGTAGATAGTGTGAAAATTTCAACATTCTGTCCATATGTATAATTTGTAATGTGACTGGAAAAATCTCAGCTCTCTTTTATGATTAAAACCACTCCCCCCACTGAGGTCAGGTTTAACAATTAATTAATGTTGTTTTACGCATATACTTTCTATCGTAAAGAAACCCATATAGTGGCCAAGAGGAAATATTGCTATATCGCGAGAAAGCGAGAAAGCGATGTCCCCTCTCGGCCACCATACTTATGACATAATATCAGCCAAAAAAACTGTATCAATATCCTGGCAGAAAGAATTAATGATATCCTGTTTTCGACCATCCCAGACCCAACTGACACGAAAAGTCTTGTCACATTTTCCGTGATATTCAGCCGATATTTTAGGTTGTCCGCTCACATTTAATTGACTTGTGCTCCTACTATGGACATATGGTGGCCAACCTATCAGATCACGTGGTTACAGGTAAACGCGGCGCCCAGCGTATCTGTTAGTGTATCAGTGTAATGTAACCACTTTTGACAATAACACGGGTGATATCTTGTAGATAAGAATTGATTACCACATGCAAAATCTATTTGTGTGAGAACGAATAGATAACAAAGTTAATTCAGGCGACATCAAATATCTCCCTGCAGTAGCATGATTCTGCTATTGTATATATAAATACTGCATCCTTACTTTTATGATCCACTAAGCTTGGTGTTTGGTATTACCTGCCCTGAGCAGTAACACTTGGTCCTCTAATGACAGCTCCATGAAGTGGGGGATCATCTTTGCCCATGTCACCAAGGTTAACAGCTGTTTGTCCGCAGCCTGGCATATCTTCGTTACCGCCTCTTTCTGGGGTGGGGGGAAAACAACGAGACTCATGTTTAAGAGGTTCCCACTAGACATGCAGATGTGTCGAGTGTGTCTCACTGAACATCCACTTCTACAACAGCTTCACTAACACTGAGATTACAAAAAAACAACAATCATAAATGGTTACACAGTGGACACAATTTGTGGATAACTTAAAATTTGTTTCTGTGATAAAGACATTACGGTATAGATCCTACACCGTATCTAGCAATAATAAGGTATGAGGGTCAATACCGAAACATCGCTTTGACAGGTCAACAAGGACGATCTAGCCATAAAGTGTCTCTACTTTGTCAACCGTCAACTTCTAAGGCCTATCAAACAAATGGTTTGTGGATATTACGATCTTATGGTTGAGTTGTTCAAATGGCGATACCAGCATCAAACTTTACATAAAATTTTTTTTGTTGGGGTGTTTATTGAGAAAAAAAACCCAGAAAACCACTCGAAAATCCAAAGTAGCTGCCAAATTTCAATATGCCCTCTACTAATTATAATAGTAATGAGTTTCTGCTTATGGCATATATTTGAACGACTTGATCTCGATGTTCTTTTTAATGTTTCTCATATATGGGCATGTTGAAAAAAAACAACGCAATTCTTTTAGTGTTTACAAATATTGAGTGACCATTGTCTATCGGCGATCGACTCAGAATTAACAATCGGGGACCTGAACACATAACTGGGATAACAGATCACAGTTCAATTTAGATAAACATTCTTGGTTCTGTAAAAAACGTTTCAGTTGAACTATATAGCCCGTTGTCACTGTCAGACTCACCAATCACAGTGATTGATCTTGAGACGTAAAATATTAATGCGACATTCAAGGAAAACTTCGACGATATCATTCAAGAATAACATCATATGATAAAGAGGTCATCGTGCCTGTGTGTTTTAGTATGGTATATATAATCTATTAGAAATAAACACAGTGTTTTATCTCGCTACGGTTCGCTAAAAGGAATGTTTATTAAACATGCAGGGTATTTCCATTCAAAATCACACTTGCGTGATAACCTCTATTTATAACCAGGCACTAACTGATTGCACTTCATTTACACAAAGACAAGTCTTGTCATAACTTCATCAAAGTGCCATTACAAAAAAGACAAATGTATTCTTAAAGGTCAATGGGCTGGGTTTTTTCATTTTTGACACCATCTCATAATCAAGAAGAAGAATTATTCATTCTCTCCATTGTTCCAAGGTCTTCACTTTATACATTATATTCACCATTCCCTTGTGGTAACCATTGTCCTTAACATTCACTATTCGTGCCTCAAACTGCTGAGTAAGTAATGTTGCAAGCTAAGGGAAACTACGCGAAGTAAGCTTGTTTAAGAAACCATGTAATAGGGCTAAAGTGGCAACAGGCTAGGAACAAGGCAAATGACTTCCTCGTCAGTACAGTCTTAAACGGGGGCATCCATGAAACAGGTTGGTTTTGACAAAAATACAGAAAGCTCTTTTAGACAATGAAATGCCCTTTTGGCTATCGTGAAAATGCTTAAGTAACTAATTTCAAGAGGCTTAAAAATACTAATCTGAAAGAAGGGGTTGTGTTTTACGAACATTTCACCAAGCTTTTAGAGAACAAGCGGTTGTGTGAACTAAAAGTATATATATTTTGAAAGGCTTACATGCATAAGAATACGTTATCGTATTTATTACACAACGGGTGTCCTTGTCTGTTCAGGAGAGAAACCTTTTGTAATTGTAACTGTGGGTACTCGAACTGTAGATTAGATACCTCTTATTTAAAATTTGGAACCGCGCTCTTCAGCGCGAGTTTTCAAACATTTAAAGAGGTATAAGAAGTATCTAATCTATAGTTAAACTACCTCTAATTTCAAAACACAGTAGGTTTATTAATAAAGCTTTAAATATGGTTCACTTATTTAACGCGTAATTACACATGTGATAACACGTCTGCTATCTTTGGACATGTCGAAAAGGGGTCCTGAAAGAGGTAGCGAAAAACATAACAAATATGAGTCAGGTTCAGGCCCACATGTGTGCACATATCAGGGACCTCACATTTACATGTACAATCGAACTTAGCGTGATAGGACGCAATGGCGAGTTATTGGGGGACAATATAATATCACAAGATCCCCGAAAGCATGGCAAGTACAAAAGTGTCATTTCGCGACTGTAAAACCGTTATCGTCATACCGGGGATGTTAAAATGTGGCAAAGGCGTGGCAGGCCTAATATTACGACGCGGCAAGAGAATCGTCTCATTAGATTAAGCGCCCAACGCTACCAATCTGATTAACATCGTATCTTTGTTTTCGCTACCGATAAACAAAGACCAGAGGACATCCTATTACAGATCACGTCAGAACGACCTTTTGCGAACTTTGACTTCCGCGAGTCAATGAAATGACCAACTAGGAGTAGACATTAGCCAATCAGAATTAAAGCAGCTTTCTCCAGCTATACGGCACTAGTTTCGAACTGGCGACATCCATTCCAAATATTTTGACAAAGTTCTCGATCATGAATTCGACGATTTTGGAATTTCCACTATATGGTCTAGATTGTATGGCAGCTACTACTTTCAGAGGGTTATGCAGTCTCTTCCGTTCAAATGTTTATCCCATTGAAGCGAGAGATAGACGATGAATATGACGGATTTAGTCGCACAGCCCGTAAATTGTCGATAGGAACACCACGTGATTACCTTTTCGAGGTTGCGTGATTGGAAACCACATTTCGAAGGTCACTTTCCTAATCTTGTAAGCAACGCTCTGTTTGGTCGGATGTCCTCACATCTTTGTTTAGCGGTAGCGAGAACTGAGATCTGATTTTAATGAGATTGCCTTGTATGCAACCGATTCAAATCTGCACCAGAAATCAAGCGTGAGTTTCGTACTATGACTGAAAGTCGAATTTCAAAATCAACAGTTGAAAACAGGTTGTGTCAAGACCGTCTGAAAGCGAAAAGTCCCCTGAAGGCTGTGACGAACTCCTCACCACAGGCACCCACGATTAATGTCAGACATAAATCAGAGATAATTTACCGTTCCTGTCTGGTGACGTTGGGTATCGTACCTTTACGTTCACGTATGTACTCTGTCTGGAAGGATAGTGTACCTGTGTGCAGACAGTGCCCCACAGTCTAGAGCGGTACTAGACCGTGTGTTGACTTTTGTACTCACTGTCTGTTAGGGTACTGTACCTGTGTGTTGACGTATGTGTCAGTCTTTGGTTCTATTGCTAATTCAGCTTCCAGAATTTCCTTGATTGACATATCAAATACACGTGGAGGGAAGGCGCTTGACATAGTAGTATGTGTGAAGAGAGGGGGCTTGTTCCCTTTGGCAACACTACTTCCTTGCTGGACATCTGTTGATAAAAAGATGGGAGTTTACAATCTACGTTTAATAGTGCTGGTAACAATGACAATATAATGTTTGTCGAATTATAATTATAATTTTGCCAGCTGCTGATACGTTTATCACGCTGTACAACCAAAGCGTGTCGCCCCCATCGAGGTCCTACCTTCTTGGTCCATGCCCAGGAGAAGACATTTCTTAAACCTGCAAAACTGACATCTACTCCGCGTAAGCCGGTCAATGACGCACGTGCTTTGAGCTGGACACGTGTAGATCAGACTCCGAATGATTGTGCGCCTAAAGAAGGCTTTGCAAGCTTCACAACTGAAAGGAGAATGAAACTTCACAGATGGCAACAACGAAATTCTCACTGAACATACAATATAATTTTCTTGATTCTTTACTACCTTATACTTAACACAACATTTCAAATTAGTTCTTTATCGTTTGGATTAATATTCGTTAAAGCCTCGGAGAAGGGTGATTTCTTATAGGGAGGGGCGGTGACATTATTTAAGGAGAGAAAAAGTGACACATCGAAAGGATGTGTGTGTGTATTTTGAAGCCGATAATTTCTCTACTCTGTTGATTGTGTCTGTAAATTAAACCACGTCTATGTAGCAGTATGCTTGTAAATAGAATATCGTTATAGTAAACTAAAATGAATGAATTAAATTAATAAGCTAAACCTAAATATTTAACACTTTAATTATTTCCTTAAATACCTGTGTTAACTTCAGCACTTGCACAAATCAACTAATCTACGAGGTAAACTGGTTTCGGTAGATAGCTTGGGTCGTTCAGACGTTTCTTTTTTTAGGTTCATGGCAAGTGGCCTATTGTCACTGGGTCCGTCACAGGCTTGGCCCGTGATTAGGTGCTTATTGTTCTCTAGTTTGTGCATGATCTCTGCAATCATGTGGGGACCCTGGTCAGAACTTCTACTGGTCAGTCTGCACATATTCTCAGCACATTCTCTTCACTGCATCATATAGGATAAGTTCAATTAATTATCACTAGATCTATATATTTATCATATAATGAGTAGGTTTCTCGGCAAGATAAAGCCAACGGATAAAAACGATATCCGTTGGGGTCATATACGGATAGAGATGCAAATATCAAGGTCAAGTAGGGACTACTTTCACTTTTTCGAAACAAACATGGCGTCGCCCTCGTCATTCGGCGATCGAGTCAGAATTAACCATCGGGAATCTGGATAAACTACAGGGATAATTGCTATCATTATCAAAAGCAGTGTCTTACTCTGACGTAGCTAAGGCATTTTATAAGTTTTGGCAACTTTGGAGATATAAATTTCGAAACAATTTTGCGACGGCACGAGGCCTAGCCAAGCGGGATCAGTAGCCATGTTTGTGCTTGTAGATCTCTGCGGTTTGAAACCTTCTCCACAAATTAAAATAGTTGGATTTGGCCGAAATATGTTTGAATTGTTACCTTGTTTCGTTTTGTCGCTGTGTGTACATCTGAGTACACTTCTTAACGTTATGACAGGACAGACCGACTGTCAACAACGTCTGACCGTGGCCGTGACGTCTCATAGACTAGGGTTAGGGTAGCTTCCCTTTGACAAAGGGCAGTTACTCTAGCGGACGGACCGATGGATTGCCACGAAAGGCAATTAAAAACAATTGTTGTTTTGCGTATATGTTGCTTCGCCACTGTATAAGAAACATATTTCAGTTGGAACTATATTGGCTACTGTCACTGTCCGACTGACACATCACTTACCCTGTGACGTAATAAATATTAATGCGCGCATTCCAGAAAAAAGTCGCAATGTTTCGGAATTAGTTGCAATGTTTCGTATTAGGAATAAACACTGTGTATTTAGCTCGCCAAGGCTCGCTAAATACAATGTTTATTCCCAATGCAGGATATTTACCATCCCCAAACACACTCGCGTGATAACCTCTATTTATGTAGTGTAACAGACTGACATTAATATACCTATAATACTATATGATCCATAATTATCCGTCAGGATACTAGCATCTTGTTACCCAGACCAAGTGGGAGCTTTCAGATTATTTCGTCAGAAATGTGAACTTTATTTTTCCGTGAAAGAAACCAAAAGTTGAAAAACAAGTTGACTATATTTTACTGTATGCCGGTGATGAAGGGTTTATTTTCATGATGTTTGTCAGAAGAAGAAAAGAATAATCCAGAAGTAGTTTGGAACAAATTTCATAGTCAGAAAGAGGCTAAGATAAACTTTCGTGTTCAACGATTTTATCTACAGAAATAGAGACAAGGAGAAAATGAGAGTATTGATGATTTTGTAACAAGAAGTAAACTACAAGCATTCAAGTGCAGATTTACAGAAGCAGAGTTTGGTGAGAGGCTTATTGAACAGTTAATTATTGGCACTAGATATCCTGAATTACAGAAGGAATTGCTAGGGAAGGAACACACCCTTACATTAGAAAATGCCATTGAATGTGGACGTACTCATGAAGCATCAATTCAACACATGGCACAGTTACAGGATGTTCACACTCAACAGAACAGAATTCATGCAATACAGGGAGATAGACAGCAATGTGGATCATGCGAAGGATCGCACCACATCAAACAGAAATGCCCTGCCATAGGAACAACTTGTTCTAATTGTGGAGTCAAGAATCACTGGAAATATGTTTGTAGACATACAGAGGATCACAGAGAGGCAGAGGACGTGGAAGACATGACTATAACCACAGATCCCAATCAAGGCCTGGAAGAAAGGAGTTTGGAAAAAAATATCATTACAAAAGAAGAAATGTTGATGCAGTCGGAAATGAATGGACTGATGACCATGCTGAACTTAGTGAAGAATTTGAAAACTTATGCTTTGAAGAAACCAGAATCTCGTCAATGAACACTGAAGATGACAGAGACGAAGTATTTGCAAGACTGGACATTGGACTTGCAAATAAAAGAAAAGAAATAAAGACAGAATTGAAAGTAAACGCGACACAGGTGCACAAGGAAATATTCTTCCACTACGGACATTCAGACACATGTTCCCAGAGAAAATAGATACAGTAGGATACCCTATACCTGGATCAGTACAAGCAAAACCTGGAACAATCCTCACAGCATATAACGGAACAAGGATTCCACAGTATGGAATGATCACATTACCATGTTGCTACATGGATGGAAACTGGATGCATGCCAAGTTCTACGTAGCAGAAACTGATGGATCTTAGGATTGAAAGACTGTAAAAATATGAAACTGATAACCATAAACTGTGCCACTGACAAGAAAACGGGAGACAATGCTCCTGAGCAGAAGATAAGAGAAAACAGCATCAAGAAAAATGACAGAACAACAAAGAATCCAACAAACATCAAATCAATAGAAGATTTGAAATCACAGTACCCAGACAGATTTGATTCCATAGGCAACTGTCCCGGAACATATCATATTGTTACGGATCCAGATGTTAGTCCAGTAGTTCACTCGCCGAGAAAGTGCCCAATTCAGTTGAAATATGAAATCAAAGAAGAGTTGACAAAGATCGAAAACCAAGGGGTAATCAAAAGAGTTACAGAACCAACAGACTGGGTATCAAGACTTGTATATTCAGAGGATGTTGCCGGTCACGGCAAAACAGAAGGGAGAGCATGATGCCAATCTTGACAACCTCATGAAGAGAGCTAAAGAACATGGACTTGTGTTCAATAGCCAAAAGTGTGAAATCAAAGTAAAGCAGATCAGGTTTTTTGGCATGGTATATGATATGAGGAGCTCACCCAGACCCAAAGAAAGTTGAAGACATAAAGTCAATCAAGACACCACAGACCCCAAAAGAATTACAAGAATTCCTTGGCATAGTAAATTACATGGGACCATGTGTACGAAAATTATCACAACACACAGCTTCACTTCGTGACTTAATCAAGAAGGACACAGAATTCTGCTGGTCCGAATCCCATGACAAAGGCACACTGAGCTACTTTGATCCAAGCAAAGAGACAGTGATCCAAGTTGATGCATCCTTACGCGGACTTGGAGCAGAATTAACACAAGACGGAAAACCAATAGCATTTGCATCAAAGAGTCTGACTGACACTGAACAATGGTATGCCAACATTGAAAGGGAATTATAGGCAGTTGTATTTGGATGTGAAAGATTCCATACATATGTGTATGGAAAGCCATTTATTATAGAGACAGACCACAAACCTTTAGAAATGATCAAGCTGAAGAACTCGACTGCATCAGACAAGCTAACAACGCTAAAGTCATGCACAAGTTGAGGCCAAACGCTCAGCGACCTACGTGACATGATTGTTGAAGGATGGCCTAGCACATTCAAAGAAATACCAGGACCAATCCGCCCGTACTGGTGTTACAGAGATGAATTATCAGTTGAAGATGGCCTCATCCTTAAAGGAGAGAGAGTCATAATTCCCCAAGAAAAGCAACATGAAGTACTACAGAAAATACATGCAGGTCACCAAGGTGCAACCAAGTGCAAGTTGAGAGCCAGATCATGTGTATTCTGGGATGGAATAAACAAAGATATTGATCAAGCTGTAAATAATGCCCTACATGCCAAAGCCATCAAGAGTCACAAGCTAAAGAAACCCTGTACCTCATGAGATCCCAACAAGACCATGGCAGATAGTAGGTACAGACCTATTTCATCATGATAACAACGAGTTTCTTACCGTCGCAGACTACTACTCAAAGTTTCCGGTCATAAGAAATTTTACCAAAGCCCTGCACAAGTATTGCTGTAATCACAGCTACTAATAGTATATTTGCAGAACATGGAGTACCAGACAAAATAATCAGCGATAATGACAAACACTTTGATAGCAAAGATTACAGAAAGTTTGACGAAGAGTGGTGTTTCGACCACACAACCATTTCACCACATTACCCCCAGTCAAATGGCTTCATAGAAAGGTCTATCAAGACAGTGAAGAGTACCCTAATAAAGTCTAAAGGAGACCGTATGGATCCTTATATGGCGTTGCTGTGTCTAAGGACCACACCTATAGATAATTACCTACCATCACCAGGAGAATTACTCAGCGGTAGAAGATTGAAGAGTAACCTACCATGCAAGATGCACAACAACAAACATGACAGAGACAACATCCAAGCTAACCTGAAAATGCGTCAAGACTCACAGAGAATGTATCATGACAGGCAAGCCCATGACTTGCCACCATTAGCAACTGGACAGAGAGTCCGTATTCAAGATCAAACAACAGGACTGTGGACTCCTGGTACTGTCAAGCAGAAGTGCACAGAGCCAAGGTCATACTTAATTGAAACTCCAAATGGTCGTGTATTAAGAAGAAATCGACGACACATATTAGACTTAATTTCTCCAAGAAAGAAGGTAACCTTTAGAGAAGAAGAAACTAATAGACACCATGAGACTATAACACCAAATGAACACAGAGAAGTAATAGCTGACAAAGGAAACAAGAACCAGCTGAACAACAAAAGAGTTCCTGATAGAACCCCACAACGTAGAAGACCATGTGAGAGATGTGTTCCAATGACATTAAGTGACAGTGTCAGCGATTGTGATGAATATCACTATAAAACCAGATCAGGCAAAGCTATTCGCAGACCTGATAAATTAAATCTGTGACTGTGTTGATACTCTCAGATCAAGAGTGACTGTTTAAAGTTGATGTTGATAATTTACAAGTTAATGATAAAGTTACAAAGTGATTAAGCTGAAAATTGTTACTCCCTGTGAAGATATCTTGAAGAAGAGGGATGTAACAGATTGACATTAATATACCTATAACAATATATGATCCATAATTATCCGTCAGGATACTAGAATCTTAGACTATTGGCATTGTACATCTATACGCATGCGCGGCGTGAGTCCCAGTAAGCCGTCAGCTGACATCTCTTAGTATATCAGTAAACAGAGGTTAACCAAACCCAGCGTTCGTTATGCAGTTCTCAGCTGATACGACAACCTCAGAATATTACATGTAGTATATTAATATGTAGTAAACTTATTTGTGCAGGGCTATTCACTGTACATCTATTATACTTAAATCTATATTTTATTAATTGTGCATGATGAGCTTTGTATAAAGTGTAAATTTGTTTTATCTAGAATGATTTGTTCAAGTATATATGCCGAAAGGAAAGAACAATAACTCTAAATGTATTATCAGTATTGTTGTTACCTAGTGCCTTTCTACTGTCCATACCCATCATGTTTATATCAAATTAGGCTATGTATGTTTTAGGGCAGATCCGGACTACCGTACAAGTACTTCCTTATCTCTGAGACGACTACGAGTACCGTTGTAACATCTATAGAGAATCCTTAAGCGTCCCTTACACTATACGGATATGTTTCTATATTAACCCTACTCTGTTCGTTGTGTTATTTAATTATTCCAATAACTTGAAGTGTTTCTCTCTCTTTTGCTAATTAATCCAACACTAGTTTACTGTTAATTAACATCATTTCGAGATGGCACCTACGCAAGTCCGAATGGTGTCTTCTCTTTCTTTCTTTGTTATTTAACGCCGCACTCAGCAATATTCCAGCTATATGACGGCGGTCTGTAAATGACCGAGTCTGGACCAGACCATCCAGTGATTGACATCATGAGCATCGATCCACGCAATTAAGATACGATGACATGCATCAACCAAGTCAGTGAGCCTGACCACCCGGTTCCGTTAGTCCCCTCTTACGACAAGCATAGTCGCCTTTTACGGCAAGCATGGATTGCTGAAGACCTATTCTATCCCGGATCTTCACGGGTCTGGTGTCTTCTCGCCAGAGCGACATTTGAAGGTAAAGGTGTACCTTCTCGCCAAAGGACACGCGGCATGACTTCGCAGAGGTTGTTGTGTGGTTACACGGGTTTAACGTATAAGTACAACGCACGTTCTGCTCAGTAAAATTTGTTCATTGATTACAATAAGCATATGTCGTTCCCGTATCTTCCACCAGTCTTCATATGACTCTTGCTCAGAAGTCTTCCGATCAGGGTTACACTATTCAAGGGTGAAGTTATTAGGGTAGACATGTGGAGGACATTTCCAAATTTGACGCATCAGCGACAAAAATGATGTCCGATGCTACATTATGATTACATAGTTCAATATCATGCAGCCATGCTTAGTACCACAGTATGGTTTTTTTTCAAATTTGGGATTGAGAAAGTAATGAAGTAAAAGTGTTGGAGATTTAAGGGATTCTCAAATCGCCTTCGTTTTTCAACCAATCAGATTCCGACACACTTTTATATTCCTTTTACTACTTCCCCTCATATCCTTTTATCCCGAAATGGTTAAACATTGTGGTCTCTCAATTAGTCATTGTAACGTGATACACCGGTATTGATTTACATACAAATAATAAACCTAACAAAATATATTCGGTTTGTGAAAAGTCACATACTGCATACAAACTCCTACCTCAAAGCACCATAGTTTCTACCAGTTGCTTGGTCACCACAGATGGAACACATGTCTGAGGTGAATTGACTTGACTGTGGTGTTCTGTCTAGTGATAACTGACTTGACTGTGGTGTTCTGTCCTGTGAGAACTGACTTGACTGTGGTGTTCTGTCTTGTGAGAACTGACTTGACTGTGGTATTCTGTCCTGTGAGAATTGACTTGACTGTGGTGTTCTGTCTGGTGATAACTGACTTGACTGTGGTGTTCTGTCCTGTGAGAATTGACTTGACTGTGGTGTTCTGTCCTGTGAGAACTGACTTGACTGTGGTGTTCTGTCTTGTGAGAACTGACTTGACTGTGGTATTCTGTCCTGTGATAACTGACTTGACTGTGGTGTTCTGTCCTGTGAGAATTGACTTGACTGTGGTGTTCTGTCTGGTGATAACTGACTTGACTGTGGTGTTCTGTCTGGTGATAACAGACTTGACTGTGGTATTCTGTCTGGCGACAGCTGCCTGTCTGGCGACAATGGACTTAACTGGAATGTTCTGTTAGGGAACAACTGATTTGACTGTGGTGTTCTGTCTGGTGAGAACGGACTTGACTGTTGTGGTCTGTCTGGTGAGAACGGACTTGACTGTGATGGTCTGTCTGGTGACAACTGACTTGACTGTGGTGTTCTGTCTTGTGAGAACTGACTAGACTGTAGTGTTCTATCCTGTGAGAACTGACTTGACTGGAGCGTTCTGTCTGGTGAGAACGGACTTGACTGTTGTGGTCTGTCTGGTGAGAACGGACTTGACTGTGATGGTCTGTCTGGTGACAACTGACTTGACTGTGGTGTTCTGTCTTGTGAGAACTGACTAGACTGTAGTGTTCTGTCCTGTGAGAACTGACTTGACTGGAGTGTTCTGTCTGGTGAGAACGGACTTGACTGGAGTGTTCTGTCTGGTGAGACCTGACTTGACTGTGGTGTTCTGCCAGGTGAGAACGGACTTGACTGGAGTGTTCTGCCAGGTGAGAACGGACTTGACTGTGGTGTTCTGTCTTGTGAGAACTGACTTGACTGTGGTGTTCTGTCTTGTGAGAACTGACTTGACTGTGGTATTCTGTCCTGTGAGAACTGACCTGACTGTAGTGTTCTGCCTGGTGATAACTTACTTAACTGTGGTGTCCCGTCTGGTGATAACTGACTTGACTGTGGTGGTATATCTCGCGAGAACTGACTTGACTGTGGTGATCTGTCTTGTGAGAACTGACTTGACTGTGGTGTTCTGTCTTGTGAGAACTGACCTGACTGTAGTGTCCCGTCTGGTGATAACTGATTTGACTGTGGTGGTATGTCTGGCGAGAACTGACTTGACTGTGGTGATCTGTCTTGTAAGAACTGACCTGACTGTGGTGTTCTGTCCTGTGAGAACGGACTTGACTGTGGTGTTCTGTCTTGTGAGAACTGACCTGACTGTAGTGTTCTGTCTGGTGATAACTGATTTGACTGTGGTGGTATGTCTGGCGAGAACTGACTTGACTGGTGTGTTCTGTCTGGTGAGAACGGACTTGACTGGAGTGTTCTGTCTGGTGAGACCTGACTTGACTGTGGTGTTCTGTCCTGTGAGATCGGACTTGACTGGAGTGTTCTGTCTTGTGAGAACTGACTTGACTGTGGTGTTCTGTCTTGTGAGAACTGACTTGACTGTGGTGTTCTGTCTTGTGAGAACTGACTTGACTGTGGTGTTCTGTCTTGTGAGAACTGACTTGACTGTGGTATTCTGTCCTGTGAGAACTGACCTGACTGTAGTGTTCTGCCTGGTGATAACTTACTTAACTGTAGTGTCCCGTCTGGTGATAACTGACTTGACTGTGGTGGTATGTCTGGCGAGAACTGACTTGACTGTGGTGATCTGTCTTGTGAGAACTGACTTGACTGTGGTGTTCTGTCTTGTGAGAACTGACCTGACTGTAGTGTCCCGTCTGGTGATAACTGATTTGACTGTGGTGGTATGTCTGGCGAGAACTGACTTGACTGTGGTGATCTGTCTTGTAAGAACTGACCTGACTGTGGTGTTCTGTCCTGTGAGAACTGACTTGACTGTGGTGTTCTGTCTTGTGAGAACTGACCTGACTGTAGTGTTCTGTCTGGTGATAACTGATTTGACTGTGGTGGTATGTCTGGCGAGAACTGACTTGACTGGTGTGTTCTGTCTGGTGAGAACGGACTTGACTGGAGTGTTCTGTCTGGTGAGAACGGACTTGACTGTGGTGTTCTGTCTGGTGAGAACGGACTTGACTGGAGTGTTCTGTCTGGTGAGACCTGACTTGACTGTGGTGTTCTGTCCTGTGAGATCGGACTTGACTGTGGTGTTCTGTCTTGTGAGAACTGACCTGACTGTAGTGTTCTGCCTGGTGATAACTGACTTAACTGTAGTGTTCTGTCTGGTGAGAACGGACTTGACTGGATTGTTCTGTCTTGTGAGAACTGACTTGACTGTAGTGTTCTGCCTGGTGAGAACTGACTTGACTGGAGTGTTCTGCCTGGTGAGAACGGACTTGACTGGAGTGTTCTGTCCTGTGAGAACGGACTTGACTGGAGTGTTCCGTCTGGTGAGAACGGACGTGACTGTAGTGTTCTGCCTGGTGAGAACGGACTTGACTGTGGTATTGTGTCTGGTGAGAACGGACTTGACTGGAGTGTTCCGTCTGGTGAGAACGGACTTGACTGGAGTGTTCCGTCTGGTGAGAACGGACTTGACTGTGGTATTGTGTCTGGTGAGAACGGACTTGACTGTGGTGTTCTGTCTGGTGACAACTGACTTGACTGTGGTGTTCTGTCTGGTGACAACTGACTTGACTGTTGTGTTCTGTCTGATGACAACTGACTTGACTGTGGTGTTCTGTCTGGTGAGAACTGACTTGACTGTTCTGTTCTGTCTTGTGAGAACTGACTTGACTGTGGTGTTCTGTCCTGTGAGAACTGACTTGACTGTGGTGTTCTGTCTTGTGAGAACTGACTTGACTGTAGTGTTCTGTCTTGTGAGAACTGACCTGACTGTAGTGTTCTGTCTTGTGAGAACTGACTTGACTGTGGTGTTCTGTCTTGTGAGAACTGACTTGACTGTGGTGTTCTGTCTTGTGAGAACTGACCTGACTGTAGTGTTCTGCCTGGTGAAAACTGACTTAACTGTAGTGTCCCGTCTGGTGATAACTGATTTGACTGTGGTGGTATGTCTGGCGAGAACTGACTTGACTGTGGTGATCTGTCTGGTAAGAACGGACTTGACTGTGGTGATTTGTCTTGTGAGAACGGACTTGGCTGTAGTGTTATGTCTGGTGAGAACTGACTTGATTGTGATATTCTGTCTGGTGACAACTGACTTGACTGTGGTATTCTCTCTGGTGAGAAATGACTTGACTGTGGTATTCTGTCTTGTGAGAACAGACCTGACTGTGGCGTTCTGTCTTGTGAGAACGGACTTGACTGTGGTGATTTGTCTTGTGAGAACGGACTTGACTGTGGTGTTATGTCTGGTGACAACTGACTTGACTGTGGTATTCTCTCTGGTGAGAACTGACCTGACTGAAGTTTTCTGTCTGGTGAGAACTGACTTGATTGTGATATTCTGTCTGGTGACAACTGACTTGACTGTGGTATTCTCTCTGGTAACAACTGACTTGACTGTGGTATTCTCTCTGGTGAGAACTGACTTGACTGTGGTATTCTCTCTGGTGACAACTGACTTGACTGTGGTATTCTCTCTGGTGAGAACTGACCTGACTGAAGTGTTCTGTCCGGTGAGAACTGACTTGATTGTGATATTCTGTCTGGTGACAACTGACTTGACTGTGGTATTCTCTCTGGTGACAACTGACTTGATTGTGGTATTCTCTCTGGTGAGAACTGACTTGACTGTGGTGTTGTGTCTGGTGAGAAATGACTTGACTGTGGTGTTGTGTCTGGTGACAACTGACTTGACTGTGGTGGTCTGTTTGGCGAGAACTGACTTGGATGTGTAGCTATTTCCTGTGATTGTTGGAAGGTTGGAGTGGTGCTGTGTTCCCATTCCTTTGATAGGACAGGCATCAGAAGGGTCTCAGGTTGTAACAAGTTAATCTGTTCAGTGAAGTCACCTGGCTTTGTACAGTCGCTGGCGGGGTCTGCAATACCTGTACGTAAATACTTGCGTCACTGATTTATCATACGATGCATCCACAATGTTAGCAAGATTATTTCAAGATTTAAGCATTCCTAAGAAATATAGCTCAATTCACTTTCTATCAAATTTAAGAGTGTTATGCTTTCATAAAGAAGTGTGCTGAAATCTGATGAAATTCAATAATTTGATGACTCGAATTTGTTATTGTAATATCAGGTGGTGAGTAAATGTTGCTGAGCGCCAGTCAGCAATATTCCAGCTATAATATCTCGGCGGCGTGCAAATATTCAGACGAGTCAAACGAGTGATTGATAATCACCGAGCCTCACGACCAGATCCAATTTTGAGGGGACCTATTCTAAAGCGGGATCCAATGGGGTTATTGTTTTATCAATGGATACATGTTCATTTGAAGCTTTGTGAACTTTCTTAGTTGTTATGAACTGAGCAAACATTTTGATCTAAATAATGCACCATTCACACACACACACACATTACTACCCCACATCAACACACACACGCATCACCACACCCGCACAAAGATACACACACACCTCACCACCCCAACCCCAACACACACATATACAAACACATACCTCACCTACCCCACCCCAACACACACACACACACACACATCACCACATCCGCCCCAAGATACACACACCTGACCAACCCCAGCACACACGCACACACAACTCGCATTGTCCGCCCCAACAAACACACACACACACACACACACACATCTGACCGCCACGCCCCAAGACACACACACACACACACACACACACACACACACACACACACACACACACACACACACACACACACACACACACACACACACACACACACACACACACACCGCCCGAAGATACATTCATACACATACCTATATCCCTACTCACACCTCTCCCCAACACATTTACTTGAAGCATACTTAACATTTATAATACATTCGGAAATGTCGTAGGTGATCCGGTATGCTTTTGGTAACACTACTTCCTCATTTGCTGTATATATGATTCAATACAATTACACGATTACTGAAGACAAAATGCACTCTCTTCCAGAGAGGTGTATCTGCAGTTGATTGCTGGGTCATTTTGTGTAATTTTTCAGCGACATGAAGCTGCATTACTGACGACGCTGTTTGATAACCTGAGCTGTGCTATGCGTTACCTGATATATTGTTTTGCTGAGGCGAGGTCTTATGTTTCTTTGACGTTTCACTGTTAAATTGTGAATGTGATACACACGTGCAGTTACCGGGAACATTTCTCTTGACACCTCGTTGAGCGCTGATTTTAGGCAATTGAGTGAGATGCATTGCTGTGTCTGGAGCTGAGAGAGGCGCTGCACGTGTTGGAGTAACCATGGCTGTGTCCAATGTTGCTGGGGCGGTGAGAGGAGCTGCACGTGTTGGAGTAACCATGGCTGTGTCCAATGTTGCTGGGGCGAAGAGGGGAGCTGCACGTGTTGGAGTAACCATGGCTGTGTGTAATGTTGCTGGGGCGGAGAGAGGAGCTGCACGTGTTGGAGTAACCATGGCTGTGTCCAATGTTGCTGGGGCGAAGAGGGGAGCTGCACGTGTTGGAGTAACCATGGCTGTGTGCAATGTTGCTGGGGCGGAGAGAGGAGCTGCACGTGTTGGAGTAACCATGGCTGTGTCCAATGTTGCTGGGGCGAAGAGGGGAGCTGCACGTGTTGGAGTAGCCATGGCTGTGTCCAATGTTGCTGGGGCGAAGAGGGGAGCTGCACGTGTTGGAGTAACCATGGCTGTGTCCAATGTTTCTGGGGCGGAGAGAGGAGCTGCACGTGTTGGAGTAACCATGGCTGTGTCCAATGTTTCTGGGGCGGAGAGAGGAGCTGCACGTGTTGGAGTAGCCATGGCTGTGTCCAATGTTTCTGGGGCGGAGAGAGGAGCTGCACGTGTTGGAGTAACCATGGCTGTGTCCAATGTTTCTGGGGCGGAGAGAGGAGCTGCACGTGTTGGAGTAGCCATGGCTGTGTCCAATGTTTCTGGGGCGGAGAGAGGAGCTGCACGTGTTGGAGTAGCCATGGCTGTGTCCAATGTTGCTGGGGCGGAGAGAGGAGCTGCACGTGTTGGAGGACAGGCGCGGATATCACCGTCGGGGACGACTGTACGTACACGAATGTCACCCCCAACAGGCAGCGATGGAAGATCCTCGTGCACAAGGATGAAGCCTTGCGATTTGTGATCAGTGTCGTCGAGAGGGGTGACAAATTGATTAGACTCCGATTGATTTGAACACTTGTTATCCTCTGTAACAACAAATATATCTATTACTCTACAGCTATGTAGTTCATCAAGTAAATGCATACTGAAATCGATAAATGAAATTGCTCACACCGCGTCTGCAAAACACATGTTGAAATACGTTGCATGATATGGTCCCACTAATCATATATGACTAAACATATTATTAATTGGCACAAGAAGGGTTTGTAGGACCCGTTATTCCTGTTTCCATCTCGTCCTAAGTGGCAACCGTCACCTGAGGAGTGAACGGGACTATAAAACGAAGCCTGAGTTTGCCGAGCGCTGTCATACATCGGCCCACTTTCTCTGTGAGAGGAGCTTAACTTCACTGAATCGAGACCATGCACTACCACAACTATCACAAAATAATTGTGCAACAACACAAAAGCGGTGTATTTGTGGTAATAAATGCCGTCTTTCTATATTCATGCCATATACATTTGAATAAAACCACAAGCAAATAGATATTCAGGGCATTAAAATCTAGTCGCAAGTAGGGGACAGTAAAAAAATCCACCCGTGAAGACCCGGGTTAGAATAGGTCTTCAGCATAAACAAATCTCCGAGTATACAACACATTTCAAGTTAAAAGAAGAGCTAAAAACACTGCACGTATCTAAATTTAGTATTAAGTTATCAACAATCCCCATAGTCCAAAGTAATCCTCGCCAAAGACCTCAGTCTGCGTTTTATGTGCGAGACCTGTGTCGGTGTCTTCGAACATCAGCTGAGCTCACAACTTCGGCTCACTCCTAAAAGTCATGTGTCGACGACAAGATTTTTTTCCAGACGGAATCAGATTAATTCATGTCCATAGCTCTTTTTTGTTTTTATGAATAACATTAAATTAATCCATGCATTCGCTATTTTTCAAAATAACATATGTTAACTTCTTTGAGAGGCATTTAGACGTTGGATTACGAAGTAAGAATACGATTTATGGATGAACAACTTCTTTATTACAATTAAGAGAGACGTTTCGGTGGAGGTTCTAAAACCGTTACCATGCACGTGATGTACAGAGTATGGTTGGCAGGTATATATACAGGTAGGAGGCAGAGTTCATAAAGTAGAGAAGATAGCATATGTAGTTACACTGGAGTGGAGAAGTCAGTAATATACACAAAAGGATTATGACTGATTGGGGTCTTTGGTGAGTTGATGGTACGCCGGGGGTATGTAGAAGCCTTGGTCACGGTTGGAGTCTTTGTATGTTCATCCTATCCTTACTTAACATATGTTGAAATTATTAATCATAGTGGAACTAATTTATTTTAGACATTCACATCATCAGCTTATCTGTTTAGTCACGAGTCACCGCTACGTGCACGTGGAAGGTATTCTGTCAAATTTACAATTAAATATTCAGAAACATTCAGGCAACAGGGTCTATCAGAAACATCCAGATAACAGGGTCTATCAGGAATACCAGGCAACAGGGTCTATCAGAAACATCCACGCAACAGGGTCTATCAGAAACAACCAGGCAACAGGGTCTATCAGAAACATCCACGCAACAGGGTCTATCAGAAACATCCAGACAACAGGGTCTATCAGACACATCCAGGCAACAGGGTCTATCAGAAACATCAAGGCAATAGGGTCTATCAGAAACATCATGGCAACAGGGTCTATCAGAAACATCAAGGCAGGAGGGTCTATCAGAAACATCCACGCAACGGGGTCTATCAGATACATCCAGTCAATAGCGTCTATCAGAAACATCCAGGCAATAGGGTCTATCAGAAACATCCACGCAACTGGGTCTATTAGAAACAACCAGGCAACAGGGTCTATCAGAAACATCAAGGCAACAGGGTCTATCAGAAACATCCAGGCAACAGGGTCTATCAGAAACATCCAGGCAACAGGGTCTATCAGAAACATCAAGGCAATAGGGTCTATCAGGAACATCCAGGCAACAGGGTCTATCAGAAACATCAAGGCGGGAGGGTCTATCAGAAACATCAAGGCCACAAGGTCTATCACAAACATCAAGGCAGGAGGGTCTATCAGAAACATCAAGGCAACAGGGTCTATCAGATACATCCAGGCAACAGGGTCTATCAGAAACATCCAGGCAATAGGGTCTAGCAGAAACATCCACGCAACTGGGTCTATTAGAAACAACCAGGCAACAGGGTCTATCAGAAACATCAAGGCAACAGGGTCTATCAGAAACATCCAGGCAACAGGGTCTATCAGAAACATCCAGGCAACAGGGTCTATCAGAAACATCCAGGCAATAGGGTCTATCAGGAACATCCAGGCAACAGGGTCTATCAGAAACATCAAGGCGGGAGGGTCTATCAGAAACATCAAGGCCACAGGGTCTATCACAAACATCAAGGCAGGAGGGTCTATCAGAAACATCAAGGCAACAGGGTCTATCAGATACATCCAGGCAACAGGGTCTATCAGAAACATCCAGGCAATAGGGTCTAGCAGAAACATCCAGGCAACAGGGTCTATAAGAAACATCCAGGCAAAAGGGTCTATCAGATACATCCAGGCAACAGGGTCTATCAGAAACATCAAGGCAACAGGGTCTATCAGAAACATCCAGGCAACAGGGTCTATCAGATACATCCAGGCAAAAGGGTCTATCAGAAACATCCAGGCAAAGGGCCTATCAGAAACATCCAGGCCACGGGGTCTATCAGAAACATCCAGGGAAAGGGTCTATCAGAAACATCCAGGCAATAGGGTCTATCAGATACATCCAGGCAACAGGGTCCATCAGAAACATCCAAGCAACAGGGTCAAATAGAAACATCCAGGCAATAGGGTCTATCAGAAACATCAACGCAACAGGGTCTATCAGAAACATCCACGCAACAGGGTCTATCAGAAACATCCAGGCAACAGGGTCTATCAGGAAGATCCAGTCAATGGGGTCCAACAGAAACAACCAGGCAACAGGGTCTATCAGAAACATCAAGGCAGGAGGGTCTATCCGAAACATCCAGGCAACAGGGTCTATCAGAAACATCAAGGCAGGAGGGTCTATCAGAAACATCCAGGCAATAGGGTCTATCAGACACATCAAGGCAATAGGGTCTATCAGAAACATCCAGGCAACAGGGTCTATCAGAAACATCCAAGCAACAGGGTCAAATAGAAACATCCACGCAATAGGGTCTATCAGAAACATCCAGGCAACAGGGTCTATCAGAAACATCCACGCAACAGGGTCTATCAGAAACATCCACGCAACAGGGTCTATCAGAAACATCCAGGCAACTGGGTCTATCAGAAACATCGAGGCAATAGGGTCTATGAGAAACATCCAGGCAACAGGGTCTATCAGAAACATCAAGGCAGGAGGGTCTATCAGAAACATCCAGGCAACAGGGTCTATCAGAAACATCCAGGCAACTGGGTCTATCAGAAACATCGAGGCAATAGGGTCTATGAGAAACATCCAGGCAACAGGGTCTATCAGAAACATCAAGGCAGGAGGGTCTATCAGAAACATCCAGGCAACAGGGTCTATCAGAAACATCGAGGCAATAGGGTCTATCAGGAACATCCAGTCAATGGGGTCTATCAGAAACAACCAGGCAACAGGGTCTATGAGAAACATCCAGGCAACAGGGTCTATCAGAAACATCAAGGCAGGAGGGTCTATCAGAAACATCAAGGCAACAGGGTCTATCAGAAACATCAAGGCAATAGGGTCTATTTGAAACATCCAGGCAACAGGGTCTATCAGAAACATCAAGGCAATAGGGTTTATCAGAAACATCCAGGCAGGAGGGTCTATCAGAAACATCAAGGCAGGAGGGTCTATAAGAAACATCCACGCAACGGGGTCTATCAGAAACATCCAGGCAACAGGGTCTATCAGAAACATCCAGGCAATAGGGTCTATCAGAAACATCCAGGCAACTGGGTCTATCAGAAACATCCAGGCAACAGGGTCTATCAGAAACATCCAGGCAATAGGGTCTATCAGAAACATCCAGGCAACAGGGTCTATCAGAAACATCCACGCAACAGGGTCTATCAGAAACATCCAGGCAACAGGGTCTATCAGGAACATCCAGTCAATGGGGTCTATCAGAAACATCCAGGCAACAGGGTCTATCAGAAACATCCAGGAAATAGGGTCTATCAGAAACAACCAGGCAACAGGGTCTATCAGAAACATCAAGGCAGGAGGGTCTATCCGAAACATCCAGGCAACAGGGTCTATCAGAAACATCCAGGCAACAGGGTCCATCAGGAACATCAAGGCAATAGGGTCTATCAGAAACATCCAGGCAACAGGGTCTAGCAGAAACATCCACGCAACTGGGTCTATTAGAAACAACCAGGCAACAGGGTCTATCAGAAACATCAAGGCAACAGGGTCTATCAGAAACATCCAGGCAACAGGGTCTATCAGAAACATCCAGGCAACAGGGTCTATCAGAAACATCCAGGCAATAGGGTCTATCAGGAACATCCAGGCAACAGGGTCTATCAGAAACATCAAGGCGGGAGGGTCTATCAGAAACATCAAGGCCACAGGGTCTATCACAAACATCAAGGCAGGAGGGTCTATCAGAAACATCCAGGCAATAGGGTCTAGCAGAAACATCCAGGCAACAGGGTCTATAAGAAACATCCAGGCAAAAGGGTCTATCAGATACATCCAGGCAACAGGGTCTATCAGAAACATCAAGGCAACAGGGTCTATCAGAAACATCCAGGCAACAGGGTCTATCAGATACATCCAGGCAAAAGGGTCTATCAGAAACATCCAGGCAAAGGGCCTATCAGAAACATCCAGGCCACGGGGTCTATCAGAAACTTCCAGGGAAAGGGTCTATCAGAAACATCCAGGCAATAGGGTCTATCAGATACATCCAGGCAACAGGGTCCATCAGAAACATCCAAGCAACAGGGTCAAATAGAAACATCCAGGCAATAGGGTCTATCAGAAACATCAACGCAACAGGGTATATCAGAAACATCCACGCAACAGGGTCTATCAGAAACATCCAGGCAACAGGGT